AAAAAAAAAAAAAAAAAACCCCAAAACACACACAAACACACACGAACACACAAATGAAGGTCAGATCGATACATAAAAACAGCAAAAAATAATATGTATACTACTTATATATTCTCTGTGCAGTTTGGCGGTTCCCGCCGAGCAGTTCCCGCAAAAATTCTTTGTGCCTTTGGCGGTTTAAAAGTCTTTTTCTTAACCTAATTATATATTTTATTTAAAGATAACAGATATAAATAAAGGGTAAAAAATGAGTCAGCAAGTCTAGAACTCCTTTCACATATAAAAGGCCTTTTAGATTTATATTTTGTCTCCTCTCAGGAGACATCATCTCCCATAGAAGTACAAAAATTATTGCTGGAGAGTTTTTTAGCGGACTACTTCTATAATCTGCCAATTAACAGTCCATTGGAGATGCTCTAATCACTCAGCAAAATCTCGGCCCTTCAGTCAAAATTTTCGAAAATAATTAAAGGGACTCAAACAAGGCAATTTTGCATGATCTCACAAATAACTTAGAGCCATTATCCCGACTGTTGCGAACACATACTCCGAGGCTAAACGACAAGGATGCGAGATTTCAACATCATCAATAATAATTCGATTATTCATATCTCATGAATTTCTATAATTAAACGTCTCATCATCATGAACCTTAAATCTTACTAATCCTTCAATAATAACTCATAAATACCATTAGAAAAATATTGCTAATGGATGGTCTCGAAAATTCTAACGAGTCGAGAAAATAAATTCGATGACCAGAAAATGACTAAATAATCGGTTCTCGTTGAAATTGAAAAATTCTAAAAAATCTCGGCTAATATCTCTGAATAATTTAAATAGACCTAAAATGTCTAAATAAATTAATTATCTCAAAATATTAAATTACACAATCACGTCTATTTATTCCGAAAATTGTCAAGAAAATAAAATGCAAATAAATACATAATATTATAAATAATTGAGATGTCTGCTATAAGAAAATCGGGGCGCTACATGCTACCCTCCTTAAACGATTTTCAGTCCTCGGAAATTACAAACTCAAAACTAAAGCAAAGTACCAGCTACAAAGGACAACTCAAAATTGAAAAATTCGGATGCTAAGTCCGAATCTCGTACTCGCTATCCCAAGTCGCCTCGGCCTCGCCATGGCGACTCAGCTAAACTTTGACGAGCGATACTAGCGCAGATGCTCTAAGGGGGTCCCAAAGTTTGACAGAGTTTTTTCCTTATCTTATTAGTCACATTGGGAATTGGCTGGCTAGGTGGTTGAGTCTCATTTTACAAGGCCCCCAACAACCTAATGCAATTTTGGCTTTGGTAATCAGCGTTTAGCTGTTAGCAAACAACGGTTTTGGCTAACTGATTGTATTAGTTGTTGTGACCAGTGGTTTGTTATAAAATAGTTTGACAAATTATCTACTTGTAAATAGTTGTTAACATGCAAAATTATTTAAAAGGACTTTCATAAACTTTAATTTATGTTTTTAAACTTTAAATTTGTAATTACTTAGAAAATACAAATTATTCATATTTTTATGTATTGTAAAGTAATTTAAATTAATATGAAAACAAACGCAAATAATAAAGAAAATGGCAACACTTCTTAATAAATATAAAAACAAACACAAATAATAAAGAAAATGCAAATCATTCATATTTTTAATTTAATTTTTTATTGAATTTGGAGAAGTTCCGATTTCTCAACTCTGTTGCTCTTTAATTATCTTCAGTTGTGGCCTACGGGAAATTTCAATGACAAAAGAAAGAGTAGTTATCATATTTTTCTCCTCAAAAGGCTCCATCGAGTAGCGTTTTGTTTTTTGGCCAATTTGCACATGTGGTAGTGTTTTACACTTATTTGCATATATACATAATCAAAAATTTAATTGCATTTATACCTTCCTTAAACAAAATATTAATATCTGTACAATATTGAGAGGATGAGGAAATAACTACTTACCATAACAGATTCTCGTAACTGACGGATGCATGGCTGGAGAGAGAATATCTGACAGAAAATTAGGAGGATTCCACGCTTAAGGGATTCCTTACACAAAACAAAAAAAAAAAAGTAAATTGAAGAACAACAAATCACACGAAAATATGGGGATTGTGTACTTTGTATAATGTACAGGTAATATAATCGGATATATACATGACATATACATTTTTATGTCGGCATTGTTATTACAGTCTTTGTTTATGCCGGATATATACATGACATATACATAACATATACATTTTTATATACATCTACAAATAATACGTGTATATATCCCAGTCTTCGTCGGCATTTTTTATTTATCGACTTTTTTACTGTATTGAATTGTTTATATTTCTTTCAAGATATAAAACAAATCGGGCGAAATATCAATACAAGTATTGTATGTTATTTTGTATTGTAAGTTTAAAATTTGTGTATATAGTATGTAATATTTAGGCTACAAAACCAAACCTTACAATTAGGAGAAAATTAAAAAAAAATAACAGAAAAAACTCAATATTTTTCATGAAGAAAATAAAAAATCGTGAAATGAACCATCTCGCAATACAATAGCCTCGCAATACAGAATATATACGGGAGGTATACAGACTATATACAGACTATATACGGGGTCGACGAATTCGAGGACCTCAGCCCGCTCCCCCCATTCCCTAACCTCGAGGATGCGATCAAGTCCTCCATCAGAATCCAGTCAACGCCAACTTTCCCAAGCTTAATTTGGGCCGCCTTCCCCAAGCTTAACTGGAAGGCTAGAGCCGGCGAACCGCTATCTTCGGTCGTTGGAGGGCCATCGCGTCTCCTCGGTTCGTGGTGCCCCGTCGGGGTTTATGGTCGCCTTACTCTCGACGGGTCTGCTACTCCATCGATCCGCCAACCCCGCGCTCATCTAAGCCGTGGATCGTCCGTGTTTCGACCGATAAAGAAAAAAAAATTCAACGGTAGGAGGAGAGAGAATGTTAAGCGTAAAGTTGTAGAAGAAGAAGAAGAAAAAGAAGAGAGGAAGAGAGAGAAGAAGAAAAAGAAGAAGAGAGAGAGAAAGAGAGAGAGAGAGAATCCTGATTAGATTTTGGAAAGGTGATAAAGTTTCCATTAATTACTCCAAAATTGATTACATAAGTAAATTAATGATTTTATTGAAATCTAGTAGTTTTGCAAATAAAAAGTACCAAACTAGTTGAATTGCAATTATTTATGACTTGGTTTTATTTATGCAATAAAAAATTATATGCAACGTGTATGGTGCAAATTTCTCTTTGTTTTTCAGCTGTTGGGCCTAAAAAGGTTGGTGCAAATGTTAATTACCAAACAACATTTTTTGTGGACCGAAAAATAATCAAATAGCCATATGGATTAAAAAAAAAAGGCCAATTTTTGGGCAAAAAGGCATTAACCAAACAAGCCCATTATGTTTCCTAGCCTCGGCTAGGCTTGAGACGAATTTATCGTGGACCAAACAATTTTGGGCCAACCCAGCCCAGGTCGATTTTGCCGCAATGTCCGCCGAGTTGGAGAGTTCTGGAAGAAATAACTCGATTGATGCTGCAAATACTA